CACGGTCTCTGTGGCGGATTCTCCAAAGTGGTACAGTCGGGCCGAGGTGTAAGATCGAGGTCGGTTCGGGGAGGGTACCCTAGTGTTCTTCGTGTTTGTTGGATGTCCCTGTGCATCCTGGGGAGGGTACCCTTGGATGTTCTGTTTGTCTTGGCCGACGGAGGGTCTCATGTTCTTGACGGATGTCCTTCTGGCCTAGGTCCGACTGTAGTGCGTGTAGTGCGTGCCGATGGCCGTGGCTGTGATGTTGGCTGCGGCAGCAGATCAGTGGCAGTGGTGGCCGTGGCAGTCGCAGTGACACGAGGAGCGGCAAGCGGCTGCAGCGGGAGCAGAGGGGGGAGGGAAGATGAAGGGAGGCACGCAGGGAGGGAGGGAGGCCACATACCAGAGAAGGGGTGTGAGCACGGTCAACCACGGGGCGGGCACGGTCGACCAATCGACCAGGACGAGCGTCCAACTTCACCCCCTTCCTTCCTCCTATCTCCTCCTCCCTCTCCTCCTCTCCATTGTCCTTCGGACCCTTTTTAGAACGCAGGAGATCTGGGAATGCAGGGCCCAGGGATTCTCAATGATTCTCAAACGTGTAATTTTATTAATTTCGAAAAATGCCGAAGGGTTCAAATTTTTATAAGTTGCTACATTTCTAAAAGTTTTTAAACTTTCGGAATCCCAGGATTCCAAGGTCTCTGGGAATGCTGGAGGTCTGGAAATCCAGGCCCCAGGGATCTTCACAAGCTTGAAATTTCAATTACAAGTTCTCAGGGATTTACACAATTGAAATGTTTAAAGCTCTGATCAGTCTTGAAAGTGTGGGAATCCCAGGGGTCCAAGATTTCTGGGAGTGCTGGAGGTCTGGAAATCCAGGGCCCAGGGACTCTCAAATGTGTTCAAACTTTGAAAATTTGAAAAGTTCCAGGTGGTTCAAAACTTCTAAGCTTTTTCCGGATTTTTAAACTTTCGAGACCTCTTTCGGAATTCTGGGGGGGAGGGGTCCCAAAAGTCGACGATGTAAGGGTCCCCGTTATCCGTCCTCCTCCTTCCTCTTCCTCCTTTCTCCCCCACTCACTTCTTATACTTTGTCAACCTCCAATTCCACCTCGTCCTCTCCTTCATCCTCCTCCGCTTTGCCTTTGCTTCGACATCTGCTATCTAATGGAGATCGTCATGGTGATGATGGTAATGATATCGATGACGATGACAATAACGACGACGAAGACGATGATGAAGATGCTGGTGATAATGATGACGACGAAGATGATGCTGACAATTGTGATGATGATGGTGATGGTGATGACGACGACGATGACGATCATGATGATGATGATGATGATGATGATGATGGTGATGATGATGATGATGATGGCGATGACGATGGCGATGACGATGACGATGAGTGTGGCGGCGGCGACGACGACGACGACCATGATGATGGTGATCAACCAGGAAGCCAGCACCCCCGCGAGGGGTGGGCCCGACAAAGCACGCGCCTCAACGTCGACGACTGCCCCCTCTTCCTCGGAGAGCCTGGCATGTCTGCTAGCGTGGCCCCACAAACAATGCTTTCCAGCGCACTCTGTGGCGCAGTGTGGATGTCAGCCCCCCTAGGTGCAAGCACGCTTTGGGGAATCAGCGGCAAATCCAATACACGAGTAGCTCAAGGGTTGAGGCGATATTCCATACGTATCGAACTTGCTGTTGGTTTGGTGGGAAATACATCAGCCATGCCACGGCGGTGCGTCACTTGTGCGTCATACATACGCAACCCAAGTCATGAGATGGTGGACACTCAGAGTTTGGAGTTGTTGCGTAACGACGGCTATACGCGCGAAGGCTCAGAGGTCAGAGCGGGCGCCGCCATGTACAGGTGTGGACATTGCTATGAATTGGTGTTTGGCTGATGTGCCAGAATTAGTACGCACTGACGGTTGCCACTGGGATGTTCGTGTTTTTGCGGCGAGCGTGCCCAGATTTGCACGAGCTTTCACATCCGATGTTGACCCCTCTGCGAGAGCACAGCGAACGGCCCGAGAACGCGCAGAAACATGGCATGCCCGACTTCAGGATTGACCGCCAGAGCTCGTTTCTGGCAGGGCCGCTCCTGACCAAATACGAAGGTGATATGGTTGGGTACTGTTTCACGGTGATGTTCTGAAGGTCGTGCTGTAACGACAGCGGGGCGTTTGGGCAGTTCTTGCAGAAGTGGGAGAAGGTGCATGGCGACTTGTTGAGACCCAGCACGTGGGACAAATAGAGCGCTGTGCGTATATTGAGTGAAATATGGACCCCCAAGCAGCACAGCATGGGCATGGGGACGCGGATACTGCCTCAAAGCCAAATGTCTGGTTCAGTAATAGAGACAGAATGTGAACTGGAAGTATGAAAAGTACATTCTGGAAGTATCCGAGGAAGAACGACAACAACACGAACGATCAGACATTGTTTTTCTTGGCGGGGCTGCTGAATTGACCAGGTTATTCCAAGGGTTTCTGGCTAGTTGCGGTTGCGCGGGATCTAGAAGCAGCCTGCGGGCAGACCGTGTTTGACTCATCTACGTGCGACGGACTTGATTCCAACCGTT